ACTACTGCTGCAATACTCTGCTAGGGGTTAATCTCCAAACCCTAACATTGGTTATGGGCCCAGCAGCATAGTCTAACTAACCAGGATATAGCAGAGAGAGTTGGTGTGAGTTGCACATTACTGTAAAAACAAACTGTTTTAATTAGTTTAAAATAGTCAAAATATCTGAAGAGTAATGGCACAAGTAAATTTGTCACAACTGTCCATGATATCCAGGCTGGATGGAACAAACTATGTTTCATGGTCAATGAAATGTAGTTTACTTCTACGCAGAGAAGGATTGTGGGACATTATAGCAAACCCACCAGATGTGAGTAGCTGGGATCCTGCTAATGATGATGATAAAGAAAAGTTACAAGACTTTAAACTGAAGAATGAGCAGGCTTTATGCATCATAGGACTGACTCTCTGTGATCAGCAGCTTGTCCATATTCGTGGAGAAGAAAATGCTGCAAACTGCTGGGAGAACCTCAGGAAGATTTATGTTCGGGACAGTGTAGGAGCACATATAAATCTTACACGGAAGCTTTTTCGAACGCATCTTCAGAGGAATGGAGATATGTTAGTTCATTTAAACTGTATGAAAAGCATTTTTCAAGAATTGCAAGAAAAAGAGCTTATATTTAATGAACTGCAACAAGTCTACATACTATTATCTTCATTAGATCAAAGCTATGATGACTATGTGACTTCGTTAGAAGTATTGCCAAAAGAAAGCCTCTCATTAACCGAGATAACAGGCAGGCTACTAGAAGAAGCCAGAAGAAGGCGTGAGCGTGACGAGCTGAGAGAAGATAAGAAAGAAGAGAAATTATCTTCAAAGCTTGAAAGAAACCAGCAAAGCAAAGTAAAGCACCCGGAAGAAGAGAATTTATCTTCAACAGCATACACAATTAAAAAGTGTTTTAATTGTGGAGGCAGAGGACATTTGGCAAGATTCTGCAAAAAGAGAAAAAGCCAGAATATAAAAAAGCCAAAGAAAGCATTTGAACTAGCCACGTTTAGCAACTCTGATGTGAAGAATAATTTATGGGTGGTTGACAGTGGCGCATCCCACTGCATCACAAGAGATAAGACAAAATTTATAAAAATGTCTACAAGCTCTCAACATATATCACTTGCAAATGGCTGGAACCTGAAAGCGAAAGGTCAAGGTTTTGCACGTTGTCCGTACATAAACCAGGATATAAAAATGTTGTATGTACCGCAACTAAAGTTTAATTTGCTTTCAGTAAGGGTATTAGATAAATTAGGTTATGTAATTACTTTTAAAGATAATAATTGCATAATTGAAAAAGATAACAAAAGGGTAACTGCAGCTTTAAATGGAACATTATATGTATTAGATAATAGTAAGAAAGGGGAGGCACAAACTGTATTTAATAATATAAAGCCTCATGAAGAATGTATCCATTTATTGCATAGGCGTTTGGGGCATGTAAATTTTAAAATGCTAAAACGTACAGTTGAGTTATCTGAAGGAATAAGGTTAAAACCTTGTGATAAATATTTGCGTTGTAATGTTTGCTGTGAAGATAAGAGCAAAGTATTGCCTGCAAATAGGCTAAATGGTTTCAAAACAAAAGAACCTTTAGAAGTGGTATTTGCAGACATAATAGGTCCAAAGAAACCCAGTATGGGGGGTGCTAGATATATACTGAGCATTATGGACCATTATTCTAGATATGGGTTTTGCTATTTAATGAAAAGCAAAACTGAAACATATCAACATTTTTTCAATTGGCTTAGGTTTGCTGAAAGAAAGTCTAAACGGCAACTGATAACCCTGGTGACAGATAATGGTACGGAATTTATTAATAACAAATTCCAGAACAGACTTAAGGTAGCTGGAATAGAGCATAAGAAGTCTGCTCCATACAGGCCAGAACATAATGCTTTTATTGAAAGAAGAGGCCAAACACTACAGGCAATGGTTAGAACAATGTTAAATGATTCTGGGTTACCTGATTCTTTGTGGGGGGAGGCTACAATGTGTGCTAATAACATATTGAACAACGTTGTTAATACAACAACAGGTGAAATACCATTTACCAGATGGCATGGCAGGAAACCTGATCTAAGTTACCTGCACACATTTGGTGCACCAGCATGGGTGCATATTCCTGCACAACTCAGAAAAAAAGGGCAACATAGAGCTAAAAGATTTTTCTTCGTTGGTTATCAGGCAAACCATAGGGCATATAGATTTTGGGAGAAAGGCACATCTAAAGTGTTATGTAGTGCTAGTGCCCAATTTCTAGAACATGAAGGATGGGAGAAATTAGAACAGGATGCCAATAAAGATGTAATTATTGAATCCTATAGAAATCCCATTAGTTATCCCTGTAACTTTAAAAATAAAGTAAAGAGACAAATACAGGATGAAATAGTGCCCATAAAGGAAGAAACAGATTCAATAGCTGAACAGGATGAGGAAGATGAACAGGTAGTAGTTCAACAAAGTCCTCCTGTAAGCCCTGTAATTCCCAGAAGAACTACACGTGTATCTAGACCGCCTGATAGGTACCAGGCCAACACAGTGTGCCAGATTAATCAAGTTCCTAATTCTGTAGAAGAAATTAAAAAGTATCCTACTAAGGAAAAAGAAAAATGGTATGCAGCAATGAATAAGGAACTGAATTCATTAAGAGATATGAAGGTGTATGAAAATGCCAAATTACCTGCAGGAAAGAAATCCATTGGCTGCAAATGGATTTTTAAGGTAAAAATAGATAAAGATGGTAATTTAATCCATAAGGCAAGGTTAGTAGCCCAAGGTTTTAGGCAGAATGCTAATGACTACGATGAGGTGTTTGCACCTAGTCTTAAGGCAGCAACCTTGAGAGCAGCTTTAGTGTGGGCAGCTAGTAAAAACTATATAGTTAACCATTTAGATGTGGAAACTGCTTACTTGCACGCCCCATTAAAACATATTATTTATATGAAAAAACCTGTTGGTATTAAAAGTGAAAATAAGGATAATAATGATTGTTGGTTGTTAAAGAAAAGCCTCTATGGTCTTAAACAATCAGGCTATGAATGGAACCAGTATATTGTAAAGGAACTAGACAATATAGGATTTAAAGCTGGTTTAGCCGATCCATGTCTGTTTAAGAGGGAGACAAATGGGAAAGTATCATTATTATTACTATTCACAGATGACATTGCATTGATAACTGAAACTAATGATGAAGCAAATAAAATAATAGCATCATTAGGAAAGAGAATAAAGATCAAGCAATTAGGGGAGATAAAGAAGTATCTCGGTTTGAATATAAAGAAAACACGGAAAGGTTTTAAGATATCTCAGGAAGATAAGATAAGCAAATTGCTAAAAGATTACAAGATGGAGCTTTGTAAGCCAGCTAAGACTCCAATGAGTCAGGAGTTTAGCAACACTGATGTACAAAGCCCTGAGTTTGATAAGGTGATTTATCAATCTTTAATTGGTAGTTTGAGTTATATTAGTAATTGGTCTAGACCAGATATTTCGTACTGCGTGAATCAGTTGGCTAGATTCAATT